GCGGCTGTGAATTTGCTACGCGGTTCCGACCCTGCATGAAGGTGTTACATGTCACTTCCTCTGTCCCCTATGTGGAGCTACATAGCACTTGGCGCTATGAATATAAATCGGTATTGGCATGTAGATGTCTTCGGGGTGGGAGAGTTCTCAAGCACGTAAAGTTTTGTTCAGATGTGAGCATGTACACTGAAGTTACAACAACTTCCTGTGTCATGGCGAAGAGTTGATCTTTGACGCCACGCCACGGACACGCCCATTGACGAAAACTCACAGATAGCACAAATTTTCATCTTCAATGCCTTTAGAAGGCACAGCAGAAAGTTGAAACCGATCCAACTTAATCCCTAGGAGGAATTCGTTAAAGTATGGAGTGTGTAAATCATCCAAAAATGGCCGTAAAATTCAAAATGGCCGACTTCCTGTTCAGTTTAGGATATGGGTTCTTGAGGCTTTTTTGTGCGTCTGGACATGATACATGTCCCCAGTAAATTTCGTGCATGTAGGTTGAACGTGGACGAGGGGCAAATTTTCATTCAGTCATTTTGCCACGCCCATGCGCGAAACCCATAAAATCCGAAATTTTTCACCATTTCTGACATGTGTGCAAAATTTGGTGAGTTTTCGAGTATGTTTAGGCCCCCAAAATTGAGCTTACTTTGCAGAAAAAAATAAATAAAATAAAATAATCCTTACAGTTTCAATAGGGACCTCGCACGGTTCGTGCTCGGGCCCTAATAAACTTTGAAACATTTTCTGCTGCGGTTCACTGCTCAGCCGTTTCTTTTTACATATTTGCCAACATACACGTACACAGACATACCAATCTGTCTGTGATAACCCGCTATCAGCAAGTGATATCGGCCTGCTGATGTCTCACCCCACGTACATGCGATGCTTGGAGAGTGATTATGTTCGTGGCTTCTGTTTAAAGATGTTTCAGATAACTCCATAAGGAAAAGATAGTTTGTAGTCTCTGGCTTTGTTTCACTGCTTCCTGATGTGTGTGTGTTTTGTGCTGGTAAGCCCATCTGTGACTGACACACTCATCAGCCATAATTATCTGAGCAAGACCAGACTCTCTGAGTGTGCATCCTGAGAGCGTGTGTGTGTGTGTGTGTGTGTGTGTATACCTGCGTGCATTTGGTGTCTAATTACACTGACAGACAGACTGACACTCCATACACACTTAAACACACGCACAAAACCCATGCGCTTATCTGTATTTCACAGCTTTTGCAGAAATCATCTCAGATGTGAAACTCATGTTATATTTGGATTGGAAAACAGGGAGAGTAGGGAGAAGCAAAAAGAGTTCAAAATAGATGTGTTTCTGTCGCTCTCTTAATCTCAATGCCTCTCATTCACAGTTTTTATCTTATTTTCACCATTTTGCTTCATTCTTTCTCTCTGTCTGCTTGTTTAGAAACATTAACGTCACAGTATGTCAAATCCAGAGCTCTGCTACTGTACCTATTGTAAATTCTCAGGAGCATAGAAACCATGATTATTAGGCCTGCATCTAAAAACAGCATAGAAAGTAAGGGAATTAAGAAAATAAAAAGACACAAAGACGCATTTGTTGATGGTTGATTGTAATCCAGTGATCACTGATTGGAGGTCAAAGGTAATAGATTGTCTATGTTTTTATTCACCACTGCATCAATGTCAAGTGGAACAGCTTTTCTACCAGCTGCTTCCCTTCAACAAAATCATAGAGGAAAAGACAGCATCCATGTTTTATGGACTTGCTCTCTCTCTCCCTCACGCAAAGATACACATTCTTACCCTCACACTCACGCACACTGCTCACCGTGCTTCACCCTCTGACACTCTTCCTTACCCTGTTAAATTGTCACATCTCTCTTTTCTTATCCTCGCTCTTCCTAAGCTGTCAGACCTATTCTGTCTTTCTCTTCCCCTCGATGCTCTCTTTTCCCCCATCGTGTCATCCTCTCTCTTAATTCTTTGTTTGCTCACTTCCTCTTCACGTCTATTTCTTGCTGTAGCTGTGTAAGTGAGGGCGGCTTTGTCATCGAGGGTCACGTTTACCTTCTTGAACACAAGGGGATTTTCAAAAGCTGCCTCGTCAAGGGCCACACACACACACACACACACACACACACACAGCACCACAAAGCTGTTGTGTACCCGCCTTTGGCATGACTCATATACTTACGAATGTGTATTACCTATGCCTTGATCTAGCATTTGAACACATTTCCATGTTTATACATTAAAATCAGCAAATGCAATGTAAGTGCTGTGCACAAAAACAGTTCTAAACAGATCTGTTACATGCAAATGTGGATCTCTGTAAAAACAGTACAGAGAACACTGCCATGTTACAGGTTGGCATAAATGTATAGCATTTTATAGATTAAACACAGTGGCTAAAATGCTGCTATTTTATGCTACAGTGCTGTATTTCATTGGTCAGGGAAATCTGGTGGTTGTGATTCCATTTCTGACCACTGAGTGTCAGTGTTTGTCTGAACAGAATGTGTTCAGGTTTCCCCAAGTGCCTCTCTGCATTCTGTGTTTAGCTTTCACGCTGATTTGGTGACAGATTTAATTTCTCCTTCTGTGATGAAGTCCAAGGATTTGGTATTTCAGAGGCTGATCCTAAATCACAGTGACTACAAAAACTCTGTGTTTATAATGTTCTAAGGCTCGGCAATGGATTAGTATATCTCTGTGGCAGAAGTGACAGGCTGTATGTAAATGAACCTAATGCGCTCCTATTTACAGAGAAACAGACTAGAAGAAAGAGAGATAAGCAGGTAAATAAAAAAGACAGAGAGAGTAGGGAAATCATAAAAAAGGATAGAGAGAGGATATTTTACATGGAGGAGGAGCGGAGGAAGCAGGGAATAAGGATACAAATGAGGGAGAAAAGGAGGTAAGATGGGGGAGGTGAAAAAGTGAAAAAAGACACACAATAGACCAAACAGAGCAAAGGATAAAGAGGGCAGAGATGACAAAAAAGAAGGTGAAAAGACTAAAAAAATTATGGGAGCAGAGGTGACAGAAAGATAAATGGTGAGAAGATAAGTGAAAGGAGAAGGGAAGGAGAGAGAAGATGAGAAATAGTGAAAGGTGGAATAAGATAGAGGACCAGGGACAGAGAAAATGAGATAAGGTACAGCATACAGATGAGCTGTTACCGACTTGTGCTGTCATTTGACCCCGCATTTATTCCACTTCAGTTTCTGACTATATCTCCTAACATCATATTTTCCCTTTTTCTTTTTCACACAAAAAAGTGATGCACACTGCAAAACATTTTGGAAGAGAAATGCCCCCAAACCACTTCAAGCTGATTGAAACACACCAACATTTATAAGTATCAAGTATTATTTGAATTCGTTCCAAGGTGTATAAATCTAAATAATACGGTTAGGTTACTGCAATTAACTGGTGTTGCATGTCTAAACTATTCAGTCTAGTCTTAAGATTATTTTACCTTCACATTATATAGTGCTATTGATAATTTTGAAACAATTGGTAGGCCTAATTGTTGTAGTCTTTCAAAGCTTCTTAGTGGTCTAAATGTAAATTTGTGTGATATGTTTTTATTTGAATCAATGCATATTGACAAGGAAATGCTTCATCATCATCATCATATCATCACAATCATCATGATAACACAACACACCATAGAGTTCTGGGCAATGTAGTGTTTGAGGCCCTCAATCATCATGGCTGCTGCAGGTTTACGTAACAAACTATAATTTATTATTCTTTACACACACAGGCTATAGGAACATGTTTTAGCTAGCTAAGATACTTAGCTACCAACAACACAAGACCTGCTGACCAGGGGGTGAGAGGACAATTTTCTAGATTCATAGACAGAGTTTAGCCATTGCCTTTCTTTCACTTACTGTCCCTGTGAAATTAATGGCTGTGTTTACACTTATATTTAAATGCCTTTAAAATATCACTTCACCATATTTTCACACATGCCCTGAAGATGCAAATTATTAATTTAAATCCATATCTCAATTAATTTTACCTGATCGTCTTCTCCATTTCTTTACATTTACATTACTGAAGTGTGTCTCTAGTAATGCAAACATGATCTAGTAATGCAAACATGATCAGTACTGGACTGAGGGATGGGGGATAATCATAGGCCTCACACCACCTCAATCTCCTGCAAATATTTTTAATATGCAACTAGTCTTCATAAATGCAGCAAAATGTTAGGGTGTGGAGTAGGGCTGAAATGATTCATCGATTAAATCGATTAATAAAATGCATCGACACAAATTATTTGCATCGAGGCTTCGTTTAATCCATATAACTTTATAGCACACTATTTCGCACGGACATTTCCGTCCACCGTAAAATTAAACTGAATGAAAATGAAAACGGCGGCACCTGATCAGAAAGCAGCTGGTGTTTTGCCAGCGGACCACAGACAAGGTAACAGTAACAGCAACTTTAGCATTTAACTGAAATCATGATTTATTGTTGAGTTGAAGGCTAGCCAAGTAAGCCGCAGACCTCAGCTATAAATGTCCACACGTGCGTTTGTTGTTCTCGTCTTTGGGCCTTAAGTTATAACCTTACAGTCATGAGTTAACTGGGTGTCGGGGAGCTGCACCTTTTAACTCACTTCCAGCTCTCAATCCCTGCTACTTGCGTGTGCTAATTCATCCTTTCACCCAGATTCTCTGTCTTTATAATTGCCATCTTTATAATAACAAACAACAGCTGTTTCACGTGCAGGAATGCTCATTTCCCGTTGTACATTTCACGTGTGTTTTCTTGACAAAACGTGGTTTGGAGACCAGCGTCGGGTGACAGAGCCGCTGTCAGCTCGTGTAGTGTGTGACCCCCTGTCACTGATCAGTCACATAGTGTGAACGCCACAACGACTTTAAGACTCCCGTCACAAGACGGCAAGTTGTGTAGTGTGAACAGCGCGGCGATTGGCCGAAGCTGAAAGTCGTGTAGTCTGCACGAGCCTTTAGTATAACTTATATAGCACTCGAGTTATGTTTGTGTTTGTAAAACAGCTGTCTGGTTGTTGGTCTGATGTTTGCTGTATGACACTCTATGAATTTCTGAAAGGACCAATAAATATCACCTATAAACGTACACAGCTGATCCTGTTACCGCCGCCAAGAAAAGTAGTTCTTAAACAACACATCAATGAATTGTTGAAATAATCTATAGAAGCTTAGAATACTAACATCATCATTAGCTGCAGCCCTAGTGTGGAGGTCAGGGTGGTGGATAAGAGTTTGTCTTCAGCGCTGTTTTCACTGACCTGATGTCCCATCTCATGCAAGGCATTAGCCTTGATATTTTTATTATTTATCCAGGATGACGACCTCTCGCTAACGCTTTTTCCACTTGGTTTAGTTGCCATAACTCAATCTCAGCTTTTGGATATTGCAGAAATAGTAACGAATTGAAAAATCTTGTAACCCAACATCTTGTAGATGCAAATGTTCTGTCTGATATCCTGACAACTACAATATGGGCAGCGTGTCTTTCCATAAATGTTAATGCTGCTTGTTATTTCAAATAAGTTGCATAATAAAAAGTTATTTGTAAGAGATAAAGTTGGTCCTATAGCACTGCTTTAAAAAAAGACCTTTCGATGCAGCATTATAGGGCCCTCATCACTCTCAATGGCCAAACTCTTTCTAAGCCTCTTGCAGAAACTTTACCAACTACTGAACACAAAGTCAATAAATGAACATGACAAATAAACAAACATTACAGAGATATTAAAACCTAAAACAAAACAGATCATAGACGCAATAACACAAGAAAAGACATACATCAGGAATTGATACAGAAAACCATGGAGAGTTACATCAAAAACCATTTTGGGGATCGCTGGGCCAACACACCATATTAGAGACTAATATAATAATATTTATCTGAATCATACCCAGGCATAAGATAACACACTATTAATATAGGTTTATTTCCAGCCGATTAAAAATTTGAGAGGGAACAATAGTTCTACTTTAAGGAAGCAATATGCAATGAAAGCCAGATTTTTGAAGTTGCTCATAACTGAAGACACAACTATAAAATGTTAAAGTTTACATGAATATTTCAGGGCTTATATAAGGATACTTATGGAATAAAACTATTGAAAGCAAACAAACTAACCTGTTTTTGTGAATGCACTGAGAAATAACTCTAATAAGTGATGACTACTAAGTTTATACAGAAGGACTCTTTGGCAGTAACACAATTTTCATGTTATGGTGACACAACTTCCATTGCATATTGCTGACCTTTCAGGAAAACATGAGGACAACAGTATGGGAGAAGGGATGGATGAAAGGAAAGAAAGGAGGTGGAAGTCTTTAAGGAAGCGTGAAAACCTTTCCTTAAATAGAACTGAATGGAAAGATTGATAGATAGATAAAGGGACAAGAAGGAGGAGGAGGCAGGGGGGAATAGCAGCTTATTTTTATTTAATCCCTTGTTCGTTATAATCCCTCTAGGCAAATCGTCCATGTTAGAAAGAAAGATAGGAAGGGAGGAGTGAGAAGTAGGCCAAAGGGGATCTGGTTGGGGAAATAAAGTGCAGGAGTCTGAAGTTTGTAGTCCTTAGATGACTTTTTGTAGTCTTTGCCAGGAGACAGGGTTCTCTGAGATAGTGCTTCCATGCCATAGTAACAAACATTCACCTCTGTGGGGTGAAATCAGTCTGAAAATTTGCTCAGAAAATAAAAAGTTAGTCAAAGCAAAGTCTGTGGTCCTTTAAACCTCAACAACTTCACTAAAACCATTGTGAATACTTTTCTGAACCTGCCTAGAAGCATAGTCCAAGTAATACCATTTGTTTGACTTTTTCACCATGTTATGAGACTTTTGATTGGTCCAGATACTGATGATATTCATTTAACAAGCATTAAGTAAGCCAGGGCCTTGTTCCAATGAAAAGTGACAAATACAGCAAATTCAAATTCCAGTTAAAACGGTTTGTTCCCCAATGAACTAAAGTGATAAAATTCATTGAAGAATCTCACCCCTGGAGACTGTTATTGGTCCAGAGGAGACCCAGAGAGAAATAGATCTGGTCCAAATAGGGGAGAATATCTAACCACTCATGAGTGATTATTTTGTCAATCCATATGGTTTCCTGTTCCATTTAAACATCTCTAAGAAGTTTCAAGAGACACGGGACACAGAAGACTGAGTTTGATTTCCTATCAACATATAATCTGTATGTTTCCCCAGTATTCTCTGTCACAAAGTGCTAGAGAGGTGTTGACTATATAAATGACATCTCTTTATGTTTATCCACAAAGTTTTCCTCGTTTTGCCCAAGCTTTCCACCGCTACCTGTTTCTTTGGGGTCCAAGGGAACGTCAGAGGAGCATTAGGCCAGATGAGGTTGAAGGGATCTTGGCTGGGGTCCTGGTTTTTTGGGGAAACTGTTGGCTTTAGAGAGGTTGAGGAGGAGAAAGATGCAAACAAAATGAGAGCTGAGCACTACCTAATACCACAAATTATTCTCATTGTTGTGACTATTGATACATATCTGTCCCTGAAAATTTTTACAAATACTGACTTACCATCTACCATGAGTGTCTTGTAACAGATTAAATGATATGTTTCATACTAGAGAGAGTACTAAACAGTTTTTTGATGGCAGCCAATATAATGGTAAATTCAGCAGCAGCCAAGAGCAGCAGTAGGTGGTTGGTAGGCGAGTTGGAGGAATGATTGGTAACAAATACTGCAGTGAGAATAGCTCCAAATAGGAAACTCAGAGAACAGATAAGGTATGTGTACGTAAGGGGGTGGGACAGAAAGGGAGAAGGTTAAAAATAGAAAAGGGAGCAAGAAAGGAAGACACAAAGTGGGAGCAAGGTGTCAGTTTGAGAGTCAGAGGGAGATATACCATAACTCTCTGTGTGCATAAAACAAGCTCTTTCATCTCTCTCCTCTTCGAGCCCTTTTAATTTTCGCCCCTTCCAACCTTCACCCTTTGACATGCCAACCCTACCCCGTCTTGTTACTCCTTTAGGCCACAGAGGAGATCTGTTTGTCCTCCCTATCCTCCCCATCTCCCTCTCCATCTCCCATCAGTGGCTGCCTCTTTTTCAGCTCTCTCTGGTACTTGGCCATCAGTGAGGCATAGATGCAACCGTAAGCCGCAGCTGCAACCATCATGATGCAAACGATGCCGCACACCACTCCGGCAATCACCACTGTGCCAATGGCGCGGCGCACGCTCACGGGTCGGTAACGGGCGCGGACACAATCTGACGGTCCCTCTCCACCTCCTCCTCCTCCTCCTCCACCACCCGTGTTTGACGAGGAGTCATCACCAGTTTTGCTGTTGTCAGAAATTGGTGTTGCCCCACTGGGGTTAAGACCGTTCCTGCTGCAGGGAGGACTGCCTCCTTGTCCAGACCGGGAACCCTCACCTCCTCCTCCACCGTTCTCATCTTCAAGTTGGAGGCAGTAGTTGAACATTTCTATTGGAACGCCACGGATGTCTCGCCCACGCAGATCCTTCGGCAGCGTGCACTCCACCGCGTCCACCTTCCCCCCTGATGGAGAGAGAAAGAGGTGCAGAGACAGAAAGACAGGGAGAGGTCAATTCTAAAATGCTTTATGCCTGTAAAACATTACAAATTAACTGAGTGAGAGGAAAAGCCAGAGAGGGGGGTTGGTTGTACCAACACTAGGATGAGTCATACATCACTTAACACACACATAAAGTTTGCTGTGCCCTCCACACTAAGTTGGAGATAGCCTCAACTAAGCCCTTCTATAATTCATGAGATGACATGCCTAGTTTCAGCAGAGCTCTAGTGTGTGTGTGGAAGAGAGAAATATCTGAGTCACTAATTCCCACAAGTGGCAGGAGGATGGGGGGATCTACTTTGTCATCATCACATACTGCATTTGTCTCCACACATTGTAATGATCTCGAGGTTGCGTGTTAGAAAGCCATTGATCTGTGCCCTCAGATGCTTAAAGCAACAGAAACAATGAGATAAAGGATGAGGATCATAGAAAGACAAAATGAGGGAAGTGGTATTTAGCCCCCAGATGCTTTTATCTCAGCGTGTGACGAAAGAATCCCCTCTGCAAACAGAGCTCGCTCTCCAAATATCTCCAAAAATCCCAGCTCTGTGTGCTTGAAGTGGTTCGCAGGAGATAGAAGTCAACACAGGCTGCTGTCACCAGGAATTTCACACTTGTTCAGTGCTTTGTCTTCTTTCTGTAACACATATCTTGCAGATGATCTACCATTTTAACAGCTACTGTCATGCTTTCATGTTCACCTACGAAATGTCTCCTTGTAATTTTCTCTGCTGCTCTGATGATTATTAATGTAATAATGTAATGTCCGCTGCATGTCAGTCTCTGTCTGAAGTGCACCAAACTGAGCTGGAGAGTAGGGCCCAGCAAAGCAGAAGAGAGCAGAGTGAAGCAAAGAAGAGAATGGACGAGAAAAGAGAAGAGATGCTTCATTAGCGGGGCAGCTGAGGCCCGAGGCGCTGAGGTGAATGTAGATTTTTACACATGAAGAGAGCGGAGAACAGCTGTGGTTATCTGTGTATTAACAGCCTGGAAGTACACGTGGGCAATACACAATACACAAAATGAGTGTGGTAATGCGCATTCACGTGCCGCTGCAGTTGTATTATGTTGCTAGAAGCACAGGCACAAACAGAAAGACACACCTAGTTATCTCTAAAGTGAAGTCCCATTCTCTGCCCACTACTTCTTCACTCCTTTGCGCTCATCCTATCTCCAAATTGAAATCTAATGCACCCTTTCAAAGCACATCTACCTCTGTACAGCAGCCACTCCATCCAGTGTTTGAAATCGCGGAGGTTGCAGTCACATTCCCAGGGGTTGTGTCCCAGTTCCAGGTGTTGAAGGTTGGCAAGTGGCTCAAATGCTGCCCTCTCCAAACCATGAAGCCTGTTACCCGCTAGAGACAGCCACCTATATTTAGAATAAAATTCATTTATTCTCTTAACTCCAACAAAAGAGGAAAATTTCTCCCTTGTGGCACTGATTTAAAAAGCAGCTGATAACACCGGCAGCCACCACATTTACGGTAACACCACTAGTGGGCAATAATTCTGTTTTATCGTATGTGGAATTTCATTGTAGTTGTATATTGATAATATGATCGTATTGTCATTTTACAAAATTCTGTTGTCAAAATGAATGATTCCAAGCTAATTGTAATTAAAAACTAAAATTAAAAAAGGAGTTATTAATGTTTAATATTTAAATGCATGAAAAGATTTGTCTGAAGTAATGCTTAACAATGGAGAACAAGTCATTGAACATCAATTTGATTTTGCATACATTTGCAACATTTACACTTAAATTTGTAATATTCTGTATACTGATATTGGAGGAACATTCTTGGTAATATACATTTTATATATTGATTTCAGCCATATGACCCTGGACCTATTATCACTTGTGCTTTAGCTTTTGTACCAGTTCATTAGTTCCAACTAGCCATCAGGCCTGAATCAAAGTTATTACTTTTTAAGTTGCTGTCTTCTGATTACTCCAGCTGAAAAAAAGTATGTATTGCCTAAGTTTTTATTCTGTTATTTCCCACTATTTCTTATAAAATCATCCAGTGTATACTGACCTCCTCACCGAAGGATGGTAATAATATTCATAATGTCAACAATGTTATCTTACACTAGTGTTGCTCTGGGGGTCTGTAAACATGTCAGTGTAAGTCGACATATACCTGAGGCTCTGCAGCTCATCCAGTACCCCCAGAGGGACAGAGGAAAGACCATTCAGGGACAGATCCAGGCTCTGAAGACCCCCTAAACCCTGTAGAAACATCAAAATAAGCTCTTTGTTTATCTCTCGTTGCTCATACGTTACAGTACTGTACAGTACACATTTACCAAAATTCATGCTGCATTAATATTATTGGCTTATTTCACTGTTGACATGGGGCACACATCATTTGGTGTGCTAATCTTGTTTAATGTAAGGTCCCAAGTGAAGTTATGACAAAAGCTCATCCTGCAGACTGCTTTGGTTCAGATACAAGTGGATTAGGAAATGGTTTATTTTAATTTACAACCTGGACGGGAGCCCAGTTATGTATATCCGCTCAGGTTGGCTCTGCTCCTAAGCAGAGCCTGTAGAGCCTCGCCCAGGAGTTGAAACAGTGTATCAGTATTGGTGTCAGCTTCTTTCTTTATTCACATAGTATTTAAGTGAATTGACTGATCTGATATCTCACACAGTATGGCAGCCAAATGAGAGTGTTAATGCATTCTGAGAGGAAATATTTTATAAATTACTGTATAAAATCTAGCACAATGTCCTGTATGATTCTTAGCTTAAACGAGACCATTCTTGTCTTGTTAGTGAGCTGTACTATATACTGTACCAAGCATGGTGTTCTATAATCTACAGTACCCACCTGGAAGAGTTCTCTGTCCATTACTGTTAGTGAGTTGTTGTGCAGAGTCAGTCTCGTCAGGTTGGACATGTCCCTGAATAATCCAGCTGGTAAATTATCCAGGTAGTTGTTAGAAAGGTCCAGCTCCTAAAATACACAAAAAAAAGACATTTTCACTTTTAGACAGGTAGCTGATGTTCTTATTGAAAATGACTTGAAAAACAAAAGTGGAATCAAATAATTCTGAAACTCTTTTCAAGAAACTTTATGCAGGATGAATCTTTTTGAAATTGATAATTGATAAATGCTACCTTATTAAGCTGACACTCCTATTCAGAGTAACTCAGTGTAACTGGAGTGTAATCGGTAGGATAAGTGTTCAAATCTACATAGGTCACCAATGTAACAGGCAGTCAGAATGGAGGACAAACTCCAACTGTTTTTATAGTTTTACAGAAGATAGATGCTCAGCAGTGGAGAAGTAAATTGTCTTTCAGTTCAGCTAACTAGAGAGCTGAACTGAGAATAGACTCTCACAAGGTACCAAATAAACAACACAACATAAACAGTTTTACTTTTCATCAGGCATTGGCAGCACATTGACCTAATCCATGTCCCAACAGTAGTAGTATCGAATATTGGATGTAAACTGCAGCCAGATGTTGTAACTAATGAGGATGTTTTTTAACCAGTCATATTTTAAGAGGAATACGTGCAGGAATAGTAATAAGTTTTATATTTGAAATACCAATATGGCTGTGCTTCGCCCTAGAGATGCACCAATCCGATATTGATATGGGATATTGCGCCAATAGTGACTCAAATAGCTGGGTCAGGTATTGATGACAATGGGGCCAATCTATTCAATAAAATTACGCACATACTACACACTGTGTTAGCTGTGTGCTGGCAAACCTGAACATTTTGGTAGGTGAGCTAACATAGCATGGAGGGAACTAAAAACAAAGGGTCAGCAGTTTGGTGGTATTTCACGCTTGCTGTGCCAACAAATTCTATAGCTACTTGCAATATCTGCAAAGCCAATGTTCCGAGGGGTGGCGGTAGCACTGCAAAATATAACACAACAAACTTAATCATGCACCTCCAGAAGCTTCATGCCAAATAACACGATTCCCAGTCTCTTTCTCTACAGCTTACACAGGTATCGATTCCCAAAGCCCAGGTATTGGGATTGAAAAAGTTGGATTGGTGCATCCTTACTTTGCACACAATATGCAAAACCTTTCTTAGCTTTTCAGACTGAGAGCAAAGGTTGTTTGGAGTTTGCTTAGTATGGATCTCACTATATAGTATCACTTATTATCCTGGGGGGAGTTCAGTGTGCGAGTGTACGCCTCTGTACACGACGTAACAACACATACAACATGTTCAGCTGTTAAATAATGGGCTGCAGACCTCCAGGGAAGAGAGGTTAGCGAAGGCAGAGGCTCCCAGCGAGGCAAGCTTGTTGTTGGCTAGCAGGAGAGAGCGGCTCCCCGGAGGCAGGAGGTGAAGGGGAGGCAGGGAGGAGAGACCCCGGCCCCCGCAGTCCACCACCAGGCCATCTGAATAGCAGAGACAGGGAGAAGGGCAGGAGGAGGCTGGGGGCAGCAGCACAGCCAGGATGCAGAGGACACAGAGGAAGACTTGAGGAAGAAGGAGAAAAAACAAACATGATTATTTAAGTTTTCAAGTGAATTGTCTTTTCAGTGTGGAAAACAGTGAGGAGGAGGAGGAGTACAGAAGGACTGCAGAGAAGTGAGAGTGCAAGTGGGTGCATAAAGAGGAATGAAATAAAAGAGAGGGGCTTTAAGTGGAAATTATTATTAGAATTTAAGCCGAAGAATCAGAGATTTGTCATTTGCCCTGCCTAGCTGTCTCTAAAATGGTCTGTCAATCAATAAGTTACTTGGTCAGTTAATTGCAGTACATTTTGCTAGATGTATGTTAGAAGAAGAGAAAAAATTGTAAGGTGAACCGGAAGTACACCTGACACAAATGCTTTTACAGTCTATAATAATGCAAAAAAGAGTGAATATTCAAAAGAAATGGGGAAACAGAAAGACTTGGAGAGGGAGGTAACAGCAGCTCGGCGTAATGAAATACCTTCCTATGCCAGAGGCGGTTTTGATATGCTATTTAAATGCTGGAATAACACAGGATATTTCCATTTCCACCATTTTGTGCCACAGAACGAATGTTTTCATAGATGTTTGAGGTCTGATTCTGCTTGATCAAAAATATATATAGATATAGTTCCTGCTTAAGTCTTATTCTGCCTGAAAGTTCGCCACAGAACTGAAACATGGCCAGACTAATTAAGTGTGTGTGTGTGTGTGTGTGTGTGTGTGTGTGTGTCTAGCCTACTCTGTAGTTAGTTAGTATTTCCATGGCAGCATTCTATTCAGAAGCCATCTCTTTAAAAAAAAAGAAATTCTGTACTTTGTGTGTTTTGCAGTCAGCAGAGTGACACTCATGAGGGAAATCCCTTCTGTTTTATTTCATTTTCACCTCATTGTTTTCCCACAGACAGTCATTTCATCCTTTCCACTCATTATCGTTTGTCTCTGTTCTTTTTCTATTCAGCTTCACGTTTTTGTGGCCGTTTGTGTTTTCCTCTGTTTCTAGAACATTTTTTCTTTTGCTCCTTTTCTTTCTTTATGTGCAATTATCTGTTCAGGCTTTTTCGTTGATTTCTTTTCATATTGTATTTTTGTTTCCCTCTGTCTGTCTTTCTGTCTGTTCCTCTCGCCACTCTGTCGAATTCTGTCTCTCCTGCTTATGTCTCTTTATCTTTCTCATTCTCTTTCACTTCAGGTCTCTTGGCACTGCTCTGTATTCCCTCAGTGTCTCGTTACAGTGGCTGACTTTGTTTCCATCCAATGGCTTATCAGCACGACTTATTCTTTATCTCTGTGTGTGTGTGTGTGTGTGTGTGTGTGTGTGTGTGTGTGTGTGTGTGTGTGTGTGTGTGTGTGTGTGTGTGTGTGTGTGTGTGTGTGTGTGTGTGTGTGTGTGTGTGTGTGTGTGTGTGTGTGTGTGGGCATATGCTTGTGCGCCTGTGCGTGCATGTGTGTATAGTGCCAGCAAAGCGTGATATTAAGAAAACTACTCTGTCTAAACTCCAGACACGGACACAGCACTTTTTACTTCTTGACAAGAATATTTTCTTCACCAGCCGATTTCATCGCTTGCATCATCTGCATATTATTAGCATCTATTTCTCAGTGTGCCATTGCCTTTTGTCACACTATGTCTCACCCACTCCCTGTTGTTGTATTTTCTCTGTGTTTGTTTGTCCATCTGTTTTGCTCTAAATTTGCTTTCTTTCTCATTTTCACTCTTCTTCTTTTCACACACATTCAAGGCTTTATTCCCTCTCATCATCACACATATTGGCTGTCTGGCTCTGTGTGATGAAACTCTGTGAAATAGCCCTTTAATGCCAGTCCACATCGTGATGTGACTGAAGAAAAACTACGTGATGAATATCAGAAGATATGAGTGACTGTGAAATAAAAGTCAGAAATCATTCTTCTAAAGTAACTTGACTTCCCTCAGGGCCTCTGTATCTCATCACTGATAAAATGTTTGAAGTTTGTAATGGCGCAGTGAGAAAGAGAGTTCAGTGCGTGGTTTATGTATCCCATTCAAATCACCTTTTATTCCCTTTAAACTGGTCATAAATAGACTTCTGATGAGAACAGAATGTACCTCCTGGAGTCTTAATTCAAGAGAAGATTAGTAATTTAGCTCACATTTAAATTACATTAGTAGTACGCAATTCATGCTAATTAGCAACAGATGTTAATAAAGCTGCCGAAAATGATGGCTGCCCTTTAACCTCTATAAAATTACAGTATGTTAAAGGAATAGTTTGAAATTTTGGGAAATATGAAGCTACTCAGCAGCTGGAAAGCGTAAAGACAGGACACAAGGTGAGTCTCCAGGAAATTACTGTGCCATAACATTTTGTGCCACAATATTTTGTTTTTACACTTTGTTGTACGGATTAAACAAACAAGATAATTTGTTTTAACTAGTGAGCTTTAGGGGTTCTGTTTTGTTTTTTAACCTTTATACAAGACAAGGCTAGCTGTTTCTCCCTGTTTCAAGTCTTAATGATAATCTAAGTTAACCGGCAGCTGGCTGTAGCTTCATATTGTATTGTACAGACATGAGAGTGGTATCAATCTTCTTATCGAACCCTCGACAGGAAAGTGTCTAACTGTTGCTTTAATAATGTTCATCCCCACTGCTTTATGACTCAGTTTTGTCTGATATTGTTAATTTTCGCAGCAAATACAATAATACAATGCATCAGACTCAAAGTGCAAGGTTTCTGTGCAATACAATATTCATCGGATGACGGATATAATACGCACTTGGTGTGTAAAGGCCTTAGCTCTTGTTTTTTTGAAACTTTAAAGGTTCCATCGGCATTAGAATTTTTATTACATAGCACTACATTGTGGTTCCTAGAACACACACCAACAACGATCTTGAAATAGCATCTTTTCCAGACAGTGTTCACCTGCCAGACACAACATGACCTCCCTCAACCAGGACACTGCCTCATTTTGCATTCTGAACCAAAGGATAAGGAAAGACTGTGTGGCCATGTGAGAAAGATCAGGGCGTGAACTCTCTCCTGTTCCTCTGTCCGTTATCCCCTCTGCTCCGTCCTAGAGTATAATCCTAATCTCTGGGAAAATTAACTCCTCTTCATAAATGGAAGAAAGCAGAGATTTTGAAGTATCCTGAAGCGTCCCGAGCCATCTTACTTTGTAATGGAAATGCTTCAGAGGGCCAATCTTTCACTGAAGCAGCTCAGCACAGTAGCAGTCTGGAAGGATTTTGCTGAGAATTTTCCATAACCGGTTTGAAATGGTACAGTAGTGCAGACGGTTTGTGAGGACAATGTAGCTCAGAGTTAGAAGCACTGTTATACAACTGAGAGAGCGCAAAAGAGAGCCAGGGAAAGAGAAACTGTATATGTTGCTGCTTCTTCCTTATCTAATGTCAAATTTCAAATTGCGGTTATCTTTGTGTACCGTTCATCTTTCTCAGCCTGCGATATGAGCTTTATTTTGCAAGGGTATTCTTTTTCTCCCCTCGCTCTTCCTTTCCTCTCTCCTCACCACAGCCCCTCTCCTGTCTTCTCCTTCTCTTACTGTACATTATAACTCCTCCTCACCCCCTCCCTCTGTCCCTCAGTGCTGCAGCCTATCTTCCAACATTTATGAGTGGTTTTAGCTGCTGTCGTGGAGGAGGTGGATGTTGTTTCGGCTTATTTGAGCTGCTCCAAATCCTCTCTGCTGGAGCGCTCTACGCAGCCAAACCAGAAGGAAAATCTTCAGCCGCAGTCACAGGAAGATAGGGCGGTTCAGTCCAAATACGTTTGTGATTCTGTGAAGTTTAATTCAGTCCAAACAGATTTCAGACTGAATCTTTTAAAAGAATCCCCAAACACATGCCGTCAAAGTGCTAACATTTTTGGCAAATGTAGGCTGGCAATGCTCTCAGCGATGGGAAACAAACTAAAACACAGCATTAAAATGCAACAAGATGTTCCTGTTTGATTGAAGCAAGACTTCTTAGGCAACACTATTGCCCAGCAGACTCCCAACACCCCATTTCGTTGTCAGAAGTGACAAATGAAGTGAAGATTAAAAATTTACAGTCTAAGCAGTCCAAGATTGAGCAACATTAATAATCAGTTGGCTTAGAATTACATTTTAGAAGACTGAAAATAAATTATTCGAATTCTTTCTGTATTTGTCTCATATTATTGACTTTTGTATATATTTTAAAGAAAAAATCTGATTTATATCTCTTGGAATTGCTAAGGTGGATTGTAAATAGTAAATGAAAACTGAATGATTTCTTTTTTGATATTTTTTCAACCTCTTTTGTTACTTAAAAATTGTAAATATGTCATCCTTACTGTTACCTTCACAGACAAAAAACCTAAACCAAATTAAACTAATTCCTGGTGTCATATGTCACATAGTTGTCCTGTAAACAGGGTGATGTTTGACAGTGTCTCATAGGCAATATGTCTTGACAACTCCGGGGGCCTCGGTTGTCTGTAAGTTTATATCCAGGGGCCCGTGGGTGACACTGGACCCAGCTATGATGTCACCACAGCGGCACTTGTGTTACTGAGCCCAGTTGCGTGTTACCAGGGGCCAAGCTTTTTTCCATGCAAGCGAGAGACGCGCTGCTATCTTATTACTAGAACGACCAGCTGTCCTCTATGCAGCACACTCACTGTCCTGTATTTCTTGACTCTTTAATGTTTCACATCGTCCTCTGTGCGGGAGTCTGACCCACATCTATCCTGCTGCTGCAACAGCACACAGTTTAGATTTGACTCCTGTGACTCCCAGTACCAGATAGATTACCTGATACAGTATCCCCTCACTTATTGTAGATAACAATCCCTGAATATCCTCAGTGGGAGTTGTTGTTTACCATAAAATACACACAATTAACGGTAGTGCTCAAATGATTCCAGCTTTTTATATGTTTGGATTTCTCTGTTTTATATCATTGTAAAATGTACGCATTTGTGTTTTTTTTTACTGTGGTTAAACAAAACAAGTAATTTGAAGACATCCCCTTGGGTATTAGGAACTTGGAA